ATTCCCGCCCCCCAACAAGACACACAGACGGGAGTGAGGGGAGGTCGCGGGGAGGGCAACTGAGGCGCGCGGGGGGCGTCATACAGCCCGCTTGGAGCGGTGCGGCGTCAGCCTCCAGCCTCTGGGCATGCTGTCGTACCAGTCTCCGCCAGACGAGTCGTAGACAGACGAACCAGGTCGGAACGAGTTCGTGGCGAACGTGAACCCGATGTTGTCGCGACCAGCGGCAGGAGCAGAAAGTTTCTGAACTTCAGTCGCGGGCCCAGCGCGGAGGACAGGATCATCGCGAGCAGGGCGCAGCAGCCAGGCGTCGGCGATGGCCTGGCGGGCAGTCCACCAGCGAGCACCGCCCACGCCATGAAGATCAGCGCATCGATCTTGGTCACGCCTACGAGCAGGAAGACGAAGATCAGCATCATCAGGAAGCGCGGCTCCACCATAATCGTCAGGTAGCTCAGGAAGAGCGGCTCCACCAGGAAAATCAGGTAGCCCATGAGCCCCAGAATCGTCAGGTAGCTCATCAGGCAGGCCGGCAGGAGAAACGCCATGAACCGCTTCAGCAGGAAAAGCACCACCAGGAAGTTCTTCATCATCACGATGAGGCACATCTGCACGCACAGAAGGCTCATCTGCAGGAGCATGAGGGTCGCCAAGGTGAGGAACATCGCCATCACACAGCAGGGCACCCAGCAGGTCGTCCACGGTCTTCTGCTCGAAGTCGTACTGGCCGTGGTATAACGCGGCACGGAACAGCTCGAGAGTGACCGAGCTGATGCCGATCGGCATCTTGGGGATGGCAGGCGTGTCGCGTAGTGGCGCGTGCCGAGCCCAGTTGCTGTCAGCACAGGCTGCGGCCGCCGACGCGATGAGATCGGGCGACACAGCCCCAAGAAGATCGGCAGCAGCAAGGGCGTCGCCCATCTTGGGGTGGTGGCCGCCGATGGCGTCGCTCAGGTCCCAGTGGGCGGTAAGTCCAACGCGGAGCAGGACCAAGCGCCGCTGCAGCGCCTGAGCACGCGAAAGTCCGATTTCATGACGATATTGCCGCCGACGGCGACGCGCGAGCGTCCTCGCACTCGCGGCAGCCCAGCGGCGTCCGGAACTCTTGCTGAAGAAGGCGACGTCCTCCATGGCCGCTTGCGCGCCTGCGCCCGAGCAGGCGCGCTGGCGAGGGCCTCCCGAAGCGCGCGGCTCGCTTGAGCCAAAATGGCTACGGAGGAGGAGGGAAGGAGGGAGGGAGGGAGGGAGGGAGGGAGGGAGGGAGGAAGAAGGAGGGGGAATGAGGGAAGAGGAGGAGAAGGAGGTGGAGGAGGGACAGCACGATGACGAGGGTGGGGGTAGGAGGAGGAGGATGAGGAGGTGGAGGAGGAGGAAGAAGAGGAGGAGAAGGAGGGGGAGAAGGGTAGGAGGAGGGACGACGACGAGGAGGCCGATAGTCATGATCATGGTGATTGTGATGTAGATATTTTTGATGTGAATGCTGATGGTGGTTGTGGTGGTGGTGATGATTCTGATTTTGACGTTGATGCTGATCATGCTGATGATGCTAATTTTGAGTTATGTTGGGGATGCTGATGACTGTTGGCGATGGGGATGATGATGATGCTAATGATGAGGAGGATGTTGACGATGATGCCACTGATGATGATGGGATGATGATGATGCTGATGATGATGATACTGATGATGATGATGATGATGATGATGATGATGATGATGATGATGATGCTGTCGCTTATAATGATGGCGATGCTCATGCTGATGATGATGATGATGAATATTATGATGACCGTGCTGCTGTCGTTGACAAACATTATGATGACGGCTGAGGCGATCACGACGACGATTCAGTATGATGATGCTGCTGAGGATGATGATGATGATGATGATGATGATGATGATGATGATGATGATGATGATGATGATGATGATGATGATGATGATGTTTTGATGCTGATGATGAGAGCGATGATGACTTCAAGAAGCTGACACCAGCAATCTTCCGATGGGACTACATCTGCGGCAGGAGGAAGAGGGGCGGGGAGGTTGAGGAGGGAGACCCAGTGATTGCAGTGGCGGGCCAGGGTGATGAGGATGATGAGGAGGAGGATGAGGAGGATGATGAGGATGAGGATGAGGACGATGGGGATGATGATGATCATGATGATGCTGATGATGCTGCTGATGATGATGATGATGATGATGATGATGATGATACTGATAGTGATGATGATGATGATGATGCTGATGATGATGCTGCTGATGATGATGAGATGATGATGATGATGATGATGATGATGATGATGATGATGATGATGATGATGATGATGATGACGGTGATGATGTTGATGATGCTTGTGCTGATGCGTATGCTGATGCTGATGCTGATGCTGATGCTGATGCTGATGATGCTGATGTCGATGTTGACGATGCTGTTGTTGTCGATTATGATGCTGATGATGATGTTGCTGTTGCTGTTGATGCTGCTCATGCTGTTGTTGTTGATGCTGATGATGCTAATGATGCTGCTGATGATGCTGATGATGGTAGTGGCGGTGGTAGTGGTGGTGGTTGCGGTGGTGGCGAGGAGGAGGAGGAGGAGGAGTAGGAGGAGGAGGAGGAGGAGGAGGAGGAGGCCGAGGAGGAGGGGGAGAAGGAGGAGGAGGTGGAGGACGAGTAGAGGGGGAGGACTCCGCAAGGCATCATCCCGTCGTCGCTGGCTTTCATCTACACCACCGGCTGGATCGGCTGGGCCGGACGCAGCTACCTGCGCCGCACGCTGGACACGAAGAAGGCGGCCAGGGGTGGGGGAGGGCGCTGCCGTCCCGGCCTCGTCCTGATCCTGCCCCTCGCCGAGGAGGAAGAGAGGAGTGGAGGCGTTTTGTGCTGTTTTGTTGTCCAAGCCTCCAACATCTGGCCAGAGTTGATGGGGTCGGAGAACCGCGTCGCCGAGGCATCAGCGATGCGGCGTTAGCCGGAGTCTGATTCTCTCCGTCCCGACGTCGCCAGTGCATCGGCGCTGCATCGGCGACACGGTGCGACTCTCTGGCCCCATGATTTTTTGCCCCTGTGGGAGGCCTCCATGCGGGGTGATCGAAGGAGGGGGGCTCAATTAGCCTTCCGCCCCCCTTGAGGCCGAGATGGGCCCAAAACCTAAGGCTAATCAATGATCGTTGCATTCTCGCCGAGGCCATCTTGGACGCTCCAATCGGTCGCGGGGCGCCCCGTCCAGGTCCAGGGGAGAGGGTAGAGGGCGGGGTAAAGCCTCTCCCGAATGGGAAGAGATGGAAGAGGAAATTCGTTGAAAAACACTCACGCCCTAAAGGGCTGGTGGGATTATGCCATATCGGTAGTGCCAGCGGCAGGAGACAGCTACTAGTCAGCCCGCAAACCAGAAATCATGGGGGAAAGGGTGCAAAGGGGGAACCGACACGAAGAGTTGTCATTCCTGTGACACGATGGTATTCCCGTAACAAGGCGGGCGGACCCCATCCAGTCCCCGCGCGGCGACCGTACCGGCGTGGGACGAATCCTAGAGGCCCCCAAGATGGCCCAAGAATGCCACGTAGCCGTTCTGGCTCACGCCAGTCTGGTTCGATCATATCGGCCCCAGCTGCTTTGACTCCCCGCCCGCAGCCTCTTTAACTCAAAGGGATGATACACGGCGGCGGCGGCTTTGGTAGCGGCGGCGTGGGTATGGGTTACGGCGGCGCATACGGCGGCGACGCGGGCTGCTGTGGCGGTGGCGGCGCGGGTTACGGTGGTGCGTACGGCGCCGACGCGGGTTGCTGCGGCGGCTCGGCGGGCTACGGCTACGGCGGCGCCTCCGGCTTCGGCCTCGCGGGTGGCATGCCGCCACAAACTCAGACCTACGTGGGGCCTGGTGGTGACTACGTGCAGGAGACGACGTACAAGTACGTTGGCATGGGGGCGGGCGGCCCGCAGGCAGTCTCGGAGACAGTCATCTCGAGTATATTGCCCCTGCGTCCGCGTGGCCCCAACTGCTGTTGCCTCTGCCTGATCCCCTTGCTACTGTCGCTGCTGTTGCTCCCACTGCTCGGCTGGTTCCTGATGGGCTCAACCAGCACGACGACGACCACGATTCTCACCACTACTCCACCACCGCCAATGCTGGCGGCGCCGCCAACGCCTCCGCCTGACGCTCCGACGACCAAGAAGACCACCACGGAGGCTCCGCCTCCGCCCCCGCCCCCGCCGCCTCCGCCTCCGCCCCCGCCGCCCCCCCCGCCCCCGCCGCCCCCGCCGGAGCCGGTGACGACCACGGAGAAAAAGGTCGACTGCGCGGAGGGCGATCCGCCGTCCTGGGAGGTGTCCAAGAAGGTCACGTGCTGCTTGCAGGCTGGCAGGGGGTGCCCTACGACGCCGCCGCCCCCGCCGCCGCCGCCGCCCCCGCCGCCCCCGCCGCCAGCGCCAGTGGCGCCGCCCCCGCCGCCCCCGCCGCCCCCGCCACCGCCTGCGCCTGTGGCGCCGCCTCCGCCCCCGCCAGCTCCTGTGGCCCCGCCTCCGCCGGCCACGACGTCGTCCTGTCCGTACGATTGCAACGCCGGGTACTCGAATTGGGAAGCGGGGTGGTCTGCGGACAAGAAAGAGTGGTGCTGCGCCAACAAGCACATGGGGTGCGTAGAGACGACGTCCAAGCCGTTCGACTGCGAAGCCGGGTACTCGAACTGGCAGGCGGGCTGGGCAGAAGACAAGAAGTCGTGGTGCTGCGACAATGAGCAGAAGGGATGCCCGGAGACGACGCCGCCGCCGGCCCCGCCCTCTGAGCCGTATGATTGCAACGCCGGTTACTCGAATTGGGAAGCTGGCTGGTCGGCGGACAAGAAGGAGTGGTGCTGTTCGGAGAAGCAGATGGGTTGCGGCGAGGCCGCATCCAAGCCTTACGATTGTGACGCAGGTTATTCCAACTGGGAGGCTGAATGGAGCGAAGACAAGAAAGACTGGTGCTGCACCAACGAGAAGAAGGGCTGCCCGAAGTGA